CTTCCCGTCGTGGCTGCGGAAGCTCCGCCTCTTCCTCGGTAGCCGACTTGAGAACGATATTCCCCTTTCTGAGCATGCTGCCGGTGAGCTGAAAGTGTTGGTGCAACCTCATAATTTGCACTCGGCTTGTTGTCCTTGTGCGTGCGTGTGTGTTTGCATGGAATGGAATGAGATCATGATAAAATCTATACATATATATATCTATATATATCATGCTTATAATAGTGTATGAATGATCAGTCATGATGTCGAATATGTGTGTCGAGTCAATAGCGAGTTTTCGCTAGTCGCGTATCACGTTGTTGTTTGCGTGTCGTGTGCGTTTTCTATTTTGTCTTGTGTCGAACGTTTGGCGTGTCGTAGGTGTGTGCAACAAACTTCCAAGAACTCAAGGAAGAGTTTATGGTGAAGACCCAGAGCCTTGGTTTCAAGTTTCAAGTAATTTCAGAGCTCGCCAAAACGGTAAACACCAAGATAATGACAATAGATACATTTCATTGTGTAGTGTAACATTTCTCTTGGTGTAGGCCGTTGTAGTAGGTAGTTTCGAGACCCTTCGTGGTTGGGGATTGTGTGGTACTTTTCCACGTCCCTGTACCTTGGCTCTTGGGGTTTGTAGAGGCTGGGAGTCAGTCCCAACTCGTAACTTCTTCCTATCTTGTATCCCAAGACTATAGTTGCTGCTAGACCGCCGTTCGCTCAAACCACTGTCATGTCGTCAAATCTTTATGATGTCAAGTGATTTAACTTGTATATATGACGTTAAGGCGCTTTAGATCCAGTTCATGGCACATGATTTTGTGCTGTGACCAGAACGCTATTAATTTTTGAAGCCGTAGTGCAGACATTTGACTATGCACTCTATCTTTCATTTTAGGCACATTTGAGCCTATTGTGACTATAATAGAAAGCCCCCCCACCCCCCCCCCCCCCCCCCCCCCTCCCGAACCACTTGTTGATGGTGCGTCAGTAGAAGATAGGACTGCCTTTACTGTTCATTACATGACCCTGTACCTCCTAGCCACCCGCCTCCCTGACCGCTTCAAAACTGTAAGCTATCACTTTCTCACTGTTGACCCACCGAACCTCACTATTGAGCTCTTTGCGGAGAAGCTCCTTGCAGTCGAGAGTCTTGCCCACTCTCTTGCTGCCTCTAGTGATACTGTCCTCCCTCCTATCTTTGAGGGGTGTGCCCCGTCCTTCCTTGCCTCCTCTGTTACCTCGGCCTCCGTTGCTGAGGCGACGGAGGTGGCAGCCGTTGCCTCTGGTCACAGGGGGGGCAAGAAGGGTGGCAAGAAAGGAGGTGGTGGTGGCGGCGGTGGCGGTGGGGGTGGGGGTGGTGGTAGCAGAGGTGGGGGGGATGGAGGTGGTGGTGGAGGAGGGGGCGTCTCCGGCGTTAGTGGAGGCGGAGGTGCTGGCTTTGGGGGTGTGGTGGCACAGCAGCAGCAGCCAAAGCAGCACCAGTCACACCAGTAGCTGCCAGAGCAGCACCAGCTACATCAGCAATAGCCACGGCTGCAGCTGCCACAGCAGCAGCAGCCATAGCAGCAGCAGCCTCGGCTGCAACAGCTCTAGGGCCAGCAGCAGCACTTTCAGCAGCAGGGCTCCTTCGGGCCATGGAGCACTGGCACCGGCGGCGGCCCACCCAGCTGGATGTCGCGTGGTCCCGCCCCTCCTGCCTGTCAGTACTCGGTTAAGACTGGGACACGTCGCGGTCACCTCTGTGGCCATTTCCACCCTCCGGGTTAGTGCTTTGCGCAGCTCACGGACCGCTACCACGCACACTATGGACTTGGTGTCTCCTCCCCGGACTGGGCCCCGATGTCCCGTTCCCTTGTTCTTGCTTTGTTTGATATGTCTGCTATTGACATGCATGCTGAGTTGCGATCTGCTCCTGTGATGTATGCTGATGACTTTAGTGTCGCGAACTCTGGTTATTATTCTTGTTTGTCTAGTCTTGGTGGTCCAGAGAGCTCTTGTGTAGGTGCTGTGGATGTTGCTAGTACTAGGCCTGCTATGGTTGCTTGCACTGGTTTGAACACACTAGATGAGCCTCTGTCGTTCATGCTCAACTCTGGAGCATCTTGATGTTTCTTTTGCGACTGCACCGACCTCACACCGCTACGCCGTCCGGTCTCTGTTGCATTGGCGGACCCCACAGTGGGACCTGTAGTTGCTCACAGCACCACTACCCTCCCATGTCCGACGGCTCCCTCTGGGTTTCTCAGGGGTCTCTACATCCCCTCGTTCTCCAGGAACTTGGTGGGTGTCAGTAACCTTCAGGACCTCGGTGTCGCCACCCTTTTCCCTCAGGACGAGCGTGTTGCCACCTGCACAAAGGGTGCCACTGGGGCACCTCTAGCCACGTTTCACCGGGAGCCGAGCACTAGTCTCTACTCTCTACGAACTGGGTCACCCCAAGTGGCTGCGTCAGGTCAGCTAGTTGCGTCAGATCAGGTAGCTGCGGCCTGCTCATGTCGGTCGCTCACTCACCCATCGG